CCCGCCGCGCTGCGCGCCCGCCGCGCATGGGGCCGCTCCGCGGGCCGCCGCCGCTCCACCGCTCCGCTCCGCGGCCGCGCCGCGCACCGCTCCGCCGCCCTCCGCGCTGGATGGATGGGGGGGGGTTTTTCCTTCCCTCTTTCCTCCTCTCCTCTGGGTTGTTTTTTTTTTGCTGGTTGTTTTTTTTTTCCCCCCCTCGGCGGAGGGAGGGGACGGAGCTCCCGGCGGCCGGGCGGGGCGGGGGCAGGAGGCCGGGGGTCGCGGGGCCTCGCTCGCCACTTTGGCAGCGCGGCGGTCCCGACTGCCTGATAGATTACTTTCCCGTTAAAGATATACTCGGAGGCGGCTCCACGTGACCGCCTGACGTCAGGCGCCCCGCTGTGAAGTCATGCAAAACTCGAGTTGTTTCATGGACTGTCAACAAAGACCGGCGGCGGCTCCGCTCCGCCCGCCCCGACGATCCCCGACGGCACTGGGACCCTCCGGCCCCCGCGGACGAGTTGCCGCACCGGGGGCTCGTCGCCGCCTCCGCCGCTCTCAGTGCGCCGGGCCCGGGGCCGCCGCTCTCGGTGCGCTCGGCAGCGCAGGCTCGCGGATGCGCCGCCGTCATAGCGCCTAAAAGCACCAAGTTTGGGCTCCGAAACCACTTTTCTGTGGTTTTCTATTTTTTTTTTTAATTTTTTTTTTCTGACAGCACACCACCAGCTGGGAACGGAAGATCAGAGAATGGCTATTGATTAATCTATTAGCTTAGTTGCAGAGAGAAATAAAAAAGACCTAAAATAACAAAGGGAAACTATAAATAAAGACCCTTTTAGCCGGTTTCTTTTTTTTTTTCTTCTTTTTTTTTCTTTTTATTTTCCTTTTTTTCTTTCTTTCTTTTTTCTTTTTTTTTTTTTTCTTTTTTTTCCAGAGATGTTAACGACTTAATCATTGCGGGCCTTAGCGTAAGAAAAAGTAGGAAATGAGGGAGTGTGTGTGAATGTGAGGACCGTATTGCCGCGGCCCCAGGTAAGCCCCGGCCCGGGGAGAGGCGCCCGGCGGGGCGGGAGGGGGCTCGGCCGCCCACCCCTGCCCCGATGCGGGCCCCCCCGCCCGGGCCCTCGGCCACGGGTGGCTCACGGTTTTTACTTTTTAATCCGTCCCGCCGAGCCTTTTGCTCTTGTAGTTCTCCCACGTGCTGTCCGATTTCGGTGAATGCAATTAAATTAGAAAAATGTTCCAGGAGCGAACGATTTCCCACGAGCGGTGCTGGCTTAGGGAAGGCAATTCCCTCCCTTCCCCCAAAATCCATCGGAGTCTCGCTAAGGTCGATGTCCCGGCCTCTCCCAGAGCCTCGACGGATCGCTGCGGGCGGGCCCGACCCCGCAGAAGGGGCCGCGGGAAGGATGGGGGGGACTTTCAGGCTGGTTTCCCCCTGCGCTCCGTTTTTCCGCGTTTCCCAGTGGATCTCCGCGCCCCGTGGCCCATGACCCTGGGCTCCGCACCCGCGCACCGCCCTCTCACACACACAGACTCACATACCCACAGCAGCACTCGCACACTCCCGTTATGTGTCCCCCTCCGTCTCACCGCAAAGGCTCTCCCAGGGAAAAAGGAGAAAAAACCCCAACTCCGCAGCCCCCCGTTCCATTTGTTGCGCTGTTCTTCGACACCGTAAAAGTCAAATTAATTGATTCATACCATTAATTACGGTGCTTAGCGTGAAAAGAAACGTTTCCCCTCGATTAGGGCTCTATTGTGCTAATCCCGTGTTCAATCACGGCTGCCGGCCGAGCGGGGCCGCCCCGCTCCGCGCCTTTCCGCTCCCCTCCGCGGACGCTGTTGCGGTTCCAGGCCTTCATCTGGTGAAGTTTAGGACAGTATTTTGGAGTCCACCCCGTTAGAAAGTATTTAGGAACCCATCCAGCCGGAGTGGGAAGGGAGAAAATCTTTTCTAAAAATCGGGAAAGTTTTCCCCAAATATCTCGGGAGCGCCCGAACCCATCGAAGTTCAAGGGCTGAAGGGGAGCGGGAGCAGGAACTGCGCCCTGCAAAGCGATAAAATAATTAAAGCAGCTTCTGTGGAGGTGGAAACCCACAATAATGACACGGCCAGAAATAGAAAGTGGGCACCCATATAGACAGATAGATTTAGCAACAGGAGAAAAACAAACTGTATCGTCCGGATCGATACGGAGTCAAATAGAGACACGGCAGAGCAGCGTGGAAAGGGAGGATGGAATAAGTTATGATAGAGAGGGAGAAATTAATTACAACTCAATTTGATTCTAATATGGCAAAGCAAGATACTGACTGCGAAGGGAGTTAAAAATAAATCCAGAGGCTGAGCCTCGGGGGTGGGGGGATTGAGGAGGAAAGGCAGGGCTGGGGCAATTTCTGCTTCTGTAATCGTTTTAAAGGAAGGAGAAACCAAAGGTGTCCCCTTTCAGCTCCTTAAGCCTATTACTTTCACTAATGAGTTATATAAATCGTTGACCTGACCTGGATTAAACCAGCATTGTCGTTCGGTACAAACGTGCGGGGGTAAAGGGGCTCGCAGAAGAGGGGTCGCGGGTGAGAAATCCCTGTAAAATAAACATATCCAAGGGGAGGGACACGACAGGGACACACAGACATCCCCCGACCGGGGCTGGGACCGGGGACGGGGTCGGAGCTGGTCGAGTGGCGGTGCCTGGACCCCCCCCTCCAGCCAGCCTTTTCGCTAAAGATGCAGGTTATCACATATGTATCTTTTTCTCCCCTATTTTTTTAGGCCTCTATCTGGACAGGTTTGATTTCCTTTTTTCCTTTTTTTTTTTTTTTAAATTGTAATAAATCGCCCGTAAACCCGGCAGATCTCAGTGTAAAACGAAATTGGTCATGTTTCCAAAGCGGCTTCGGATTTATTTGTATTGAAAATGTATAAACATTCATTCCGTAAAAGGCAACACGTTTAATTAACGATGAGAGAGCAGTTAGGGGCAGAAAGCTAGTAAAATTGTGTGATAAATTTATGGCATTGTTAGCGTGCTTTTAATTATGGCTATTATGTTAATTATTTCACATTAGCATGGAGTTATCAGCAGCATGTCAGATTTAATCAAAACGAGCCTTTCTCTCGAAAATTGTGCTTTTCATTCGCCGCGAGGAGAACGGGGGGTCCCGAGACGAAGTCGCTCCCCCCTTCTTTATTTATTTAAAAATAAATAAATGAAGGCTTTTAAAAAGAGACTTCCCATTGAAAAGAGTGGCTGGACGTGATCCGGGCTGGTGCAGGCGGCAGATCCCTTTAGGCTACAGCGAGCAGCGCAGGGAGACTGAGGAGAGAAGCGACGCTCTTGTTTTTTAGGAATTCACCATTTTCACCCCCTCCGGAGAAGGCATTTTATCATTTTGGATCATTCTGTCAAACAATATGATGTTGCTCATTTTTATCTGTCCCGTTTTACAAAGCCCCCGTTCACACTGCTGGCCAGGACAACGCGCCTCAGTACAAAAGAATAAAAGAGACAAGCCGGGAGGATATGGGATCGCTGCATGGATCAAAAAGGAGGGAAGAGGAGGAGGTGTGTGAGTGTGAGTGTGTGTGCGTGTGTGTGCGCTGAGGGGCTCGCAGCGGGCCGGGACCCTCTCCCTGCTCGGCGCTGCGGGGCTGCTCCCGCACACGCTCCGCAGCCCCCGCGACCGCCCCCCGGCCGGGCCGGTGATGCCGGGGGAGGCGACCCGCCGCTCCCCCAGACGCTTCCGAGCTCAAATAAAAATAATTAAAAATATATAAATGCAAAGGAAAATTAAAATCGCCGGTTTGACAGCGGCGGAGTTTGGGGGGGCTCCGTCCGCGCCGAGGTGCGGAGCTGCCCCCGCCCCGCCGGCAGCCCCGCGCCCGCGGAGATCTGCGAGGATCGCTCCGCACCGCCCCGCACAGCCCGCTCGGCCCTGCCCGCGCCCCCTCCTCCGGCCGGCCCCACTCCCCCTTCCCCACGGGAGCGGGGGGCTGCGACCACGGCAGCTGCTGGCTTATTTTTAGAGCATTTCCATTCCTCCGGTTAATTTTAGATCGATCCATTATTTAGCCCCAGTTCGCCTTTAGGGAAACCCAAGCTGGGGGCGGCCGGCCCTCCGCGGCCGCGGGACCTTCCGCCTTGCGGGGGAAAGGCAACTTCGGGGACCACCCCGAGCCCTCGGGGCTGTCGGAGGGACGAGGCTCCGCTCCCCGCGGAACCTGCGCTGCCCCCCATCCCCGCGGCCCCCCGCGCTGTTTGCGCGCTGCCCTTCCCGCTGAGCTCGCATTTCATCCAGGCGCCGATTTTCCACGTTCCGAGGCCTTTCCTCCTGGGGGAGACACCCCCAAATGCACACACACCCACTTCCCCCGCGCCCCTCCGAGCCAGGCGGAGAAGCCAGGGCTGCCCCGCGGCCCCGGTCCCGTTCCCCGCCTGGCCCCAGGGGACCGCGGGCGGAGGCGGGGAGACACAAACCACCTCCCCTGGGCCCCCCGCAGGGATGCGGTTG